GTCCTTAAATGTGATGGGCAGAGAAATCTAAAATAGTTCTTTCTAGGGAAAAGGTGATCTTGAAGAAAAAGGGAAAAGGAAAAAATAGAAACTTACGCGTCCACAACGTCAGAGAAACGAGAAGCTACGATATTTCAAAACACTTTGAACTTATGTTTCTGTTATTTGAATGCCTACACACTCAAGGCTCTTAGATTATTTGATCAGACAAGATTTGAAACATCTAGAGCTGAGAACTTTGCTTTAATAAGTTAAGCTTTCGACAGAAGTATATGTAAATAAGAAAGCCTCCATAATTCTTAAAAAATAGTCTGTAATCTTTCTTTTATGCCTAAAAATCTACCTATTCCTGAGGGATCCCAGTGAAAAAAGATTTGCAATGGGTTTGACTAGCAGTTTGCCATTCATCAATCATAACTATAATGTGTGGCCTTCACAAGAGCAGAAGTCAGGCTTAAGGCGTATAAAAGTGTGACAGGTGTAGATGCATTACAGCCTAGGGAGAGAAAGATACTAAATGCTGGCTGAAATCGGCTTTTTTCAATTCTCCCCATAAAAAACTCACCAAAACATCCACATTAACGTGTGCTCGATACGATTAACTGCTACGAGGGGGTTATTAGTAGTAGTATCAATCAACCCTTGATGTTTGGACATGTCACATGAGAGCTACGAATGGCGATGGAATAGTAAACGGCAAATACACAACGCCGTCGTCGTAGAAGCGTTTGATTGTCGTTCTATTAACGTCATAGTTGGCTAAAGGCATTCAGTTCAAAAAGGCTTTGCAAAACTGCAGTTCAAAGAGTTCTAGGGTTTTAAATACAAAAGATATATTAAATGACCTTTTTTGAAAAAGAGGCTAAATGCAAGGAGCTATATATCCCGAAGTATGGAATGCCTCGGCAGGCTAAAACTAAATTTTGTATCTTTAGTAATACTATAGGACGCATCCTTTCCATGAATGGAACATGAGATGTCAAAAGTGCGATGTCGACCCGAAACTCCACTGCTCAGCTTGAAAATCCAGACAAAAAATGGGGATGGACAAGTTTTTGCAGAGCAGGAAAGGCGCTTTCAAAATATCACTTTCGCAAAAAAACTTTCAAAAAATTGCCACTTAAATATGTATAAAGCGAAAAAATAAGAGGATCTTATGCAGCGACTTACTACCTAAAAAACCACAAAAATATTACAATGTGATTTAGGAGGTATCGTTTCTAGCAAAACGACAATATTCAGATCTACACTAAAAGACGACGAGGAATCGAACTTGTTTGTCCCCTCTTCACGCGCGCGCTTAACACAATTTTCTAGGATTTGTGAACTTTTGTCGTAAGACGAGATCAGCTGCCCTTTAATAAGATAAGTACAGCAGTCACGAAGTAAGATGTTCGCGACTTCCTCGAACGTTGTCAGAGAAGTTAACTTGGCTAAGACTGCCTAAATAATGCGTAGAACAAACCAGATATGGTGAATATGTGAAAGAAACTGGCAGCTTGCCTTAACAACTTTAACATTCAGAGACCTCTAAAAGTGCAGTGCTGAAATTAACAAGCATTTAGAGGAGAAGCATCAGCGCAGCGATTTACCCCCTTTTAACTGTGAAAAACATTATGTCAAGCATGTCTCATATTACCTGCTTGTGAAATCGATTAGAAGCAGATGTGGAAGGGAAAACAAAAGCTATTAACTGCCGAGGGCGTGGCTCAAAATGCATAGACGAGGGAAAAATGCGGTTAAGGTTACCTACTAAGGGCAATAGTGGTTTAGCGGCACGTAGGCTCTTCTGTCATATGTTACGAAATAGCCCTCGAGAGGGCCGTTATGGTATAAGTTCAATTCGTTGTATGTAGCGACGACGTCATCCACTCGCATATGACATCTGAAGGCGAATGGTCGTAGAATGGGAAGTTCGCAATGTAATGGCCTTTGCTAAAGGGGAGAAAAACTGAGATACGATAGGGAATTAGAAATTAAAATGTATTTCGCATCAAAATTCAAATGCAATTTTTCGTGAGAAATCTTTTAATTAGAGATTAAAAGTAGCTGGAGGATCTTAATGTGAGAGTGGAAAAAATCATCGAGATATCGCAGCCACACTCTGCTTGTAAATGAATTGTTAGTACATCGACACCCTAGTGAATTGAAAGAAATAGTAATTGATGTTCTCACCAGGTTTTCCTATTAAGCAGGGCTTCACTGAGCACAAATCAGGAGGCGAAAACTAAATATAGCATGTTCGTAGTGCATTCGATTTCGTCTAGCCGTAGTAGGGAACTTTTCGT